GATCAAACTTTTGAGCTCTGATGTCAATTTAAGGAAGCAAAGCAGCTTAGAAAGACAGGTAAGTTAAATGTTTGATAATGCCAATTATAGGTTAGTATATTCATTAATAGACCTAGGAACAAATACATTTATTTACTAATATCTGCTGTTAAATAAAAATGGGCTTAATTTTTCCATTTGCATTCTTAAAGAGAATCTATCATGTAAAATAAATCTAACCCATTTGGAACCAAAGTTTCTCTTACTTTATGGAGCTGGAACTGCAATATGCTAAACATCTAATCTCCTTTCTGGCAGGAAATACTTTAACCTTATCTGCATACCTGAGTGAGAGGTCTGAGATTCCTCTCCCAGCGGGGGAAGACATTAGTGAAAGTAAGAGGCTCGGATCCCTCAAAGATGAGGTATGCCTGTGGGGGTCTTCTTGGGTTTATCTCTGTGGATCAAAAAGAGCAAATTAACCAGAAAAAAATGCATGCTTTTATTTCTAAGGCAATTAAGTTGTGAAAGCCCCCCTGACCTTTGCAGTATTGCAGAGCTGTCTGCATGGCACATTTTCTCTCATCATGCCAGAGGCTCCAGGCTGAAGCAGAGCTCTCAGTTTGCTCAGGTTGACCTCTCTGCCACACGTAGATCTCTAACCGGTTGTCAAGCAGGAATAAGGCTGATGACAGAATGCGGAGGACATTAAAACTGAAGGAATTACTTTGATTCCATTTTTTTCAGCAAAAAGACTTCAGATCATTTTTACAGCTTCATGCACAAAGACTTTTTTCGTTAGGTTTTCACCTGGCTGAGGAACGCTGTAGAGGCTTTCCTGAACAAAGGGCATCGCCATCACGACCCCCGGCAGCCGTATCGGACTCTGCAGCTCCTCTGCTTTAAATCTACCCAAAGAGGCGCTCAGATGGAAAAGGCGGGGAGTGAAGTTGTACTTTCCAGGATCTGCCAAATATAGGACAGAAATGTTTTCCCTTTCTATAAACTTAAAGCTAATACCTAAAATCTGCATCTTATTGCACCTTGAAGCATGCAGTCATAGGCCTTTCTGTTCATCTGGCCCAATGCTGTCCAGAAGTCCACAGGCTCTGAACCTTCCTCCACAAAATGCACTTTGATAGGATTGTTTTTGCAGAGACCCAGCTCTGGTGGACTCCTGAAAAAAACACAATACTGAGAAACAGAGAGCTGGAAACGTGTGATGCACTCAGAAAACAAGACTCATGCTTTACATTTCAGTGAGACGCTCCACTGCCCTCTTACTAACTTCTCGGGTGCTGCTATGGGCTTTACAGCCAGTCCAGAGATACAGCACCCCCTGCTGGCTGTTGAGCAGAACAACAGAGCCCCTCGACCTCAGACTAGAACAGCAGCATTCCCCCTCTAGCAGCAGAGCCTCCTCTGGGAGCTCCCCTCGCACACAGAACAGACGCCAGTCTGCGGTGAACAAAACAAAAGCCTCTAAATTAGTTCAAAATATAAAACAGGGGGTAAAGCAAAATCCTTAGAGGGAAAAAAAAAAGATTTTAATTCACCTGCAGAGGAGGAGGGTTCCTCACGCTTTCCTTTGTGAATGACCAGGCCTCCCTGGAAAAGCTGCAGGAAGCAGGGGGGTTCCTTACCCTGAGGTACGACTACCTACAGTATAGGAACAACATAAGAGGAAATGTCTGCTCATTTTCAAAATATAATACAGTAAAATGCCCTAAAGTCTAAATGGTAAAGCTTTGTTTAAGTATTGGTGATTTAAAAGATTAAAATTCAAGCAAATTCATGAAGATTTTAATGTAAACTGAATTAGATCAACCATTCAATTAGCACCACTGAGGAAATAAGGTCTCTCAGCTACATATGTGAGAGAAACTTAATTTTTTTTTTTTTTTATCATTCCCTGTTTGCGTTACCAGTAAATAGTTGCAATCACAGACCAGAGAGTTCTGGGTTTTGTGTATTCAATGCCATCTATATTTTAGGTCTAATGCATCCTAAAAACACTCAAATTATTCCTTCATACTGTTCAAGACTCCAATGAGAAGTTCAGATCTGAGGCTTTAATATTACATGTTTTCACAGTCCAACAAGCTTTATGGGTTCTTGTTGTAGACATTTCCACCAGCAGACCTGATTGAAATGGTCATACCTGTGAGTCTTCATGGTTTTTCATCCCAATGGATAGAAAAGCTGCAGTGTCACATCCACTAGCGCTCGAATGCCGTCCTCGCCACAAGAAGAACGCTGTGTTCTGCTTGGATTTGGAAGTGTTCTCACAGTCATCCGGGCTCTTTCTGTGATCTACAATGAACCAAAAGGATCATTATAAGAGAGAATATCCACTGTCCTTTATGATGATTGAGCATTATTTAACATTCACTGACCAGCAGCACTGATGCTGTAGGTCCAGCGAACCACATAGGAATCTCCTTCATGGAGCTGCCCTGTGCTCTCCACTGGAATTTCACTATCATCAAACTCCTGGACATGCCAGGTGTCAACGGAAACAGTCCTCAGCTCCATCTGTTGGCCCTCCTCCAGGGTGATGACACCATGCCCCCTCTGAACATCAACACCAGCCAGAACAGTCCGGACAGAAACGTCCTCTAACATCCCACCTGATGCCAGAGCTTTAACATCACAGGGCCTCAGGAGGTCTGATGATAGGGAGTCAGGCTGTGGTGGATCAGCAGGGATGCACTGTAAGATTATTATTGGTTATTGCAACATGAGTTAGAAAATCTTATTAAAAAAAAAATATATATATATATATCCTAGATGGTTTGGTTTTGTCACAGTAGTGAGATTGAGCAGTAGGAGCAGGAAGACTGCTCTGAACCACTGTACCATGAGATTAACCTGCAGGTCATCCCTCTCTGAAACAACCTCCACTGTGTCTCCGCTTTCACACATCGGGCCAAGGAACTTTTCCCTGAAAAGGGCTGTCTCGTTGCCCTCGGAGACCACGGCGAGCAGAGCCCAGTCGGGACGGCCCTCTCCTCTCCTGAACACAAAGACATCCATGATTAATGCAGCCATGACAGAAACTACATCTGAAAAAGAGAGTCTGCATATTTTACAAAACATTCACTCCAGGATATATAACATTGTTCCCAACAAGGTCTAAAACTCTTAAGTCAGTAGCTTAAAAAGAAAAAAAAGCACTTTTACTTCTTTTGATGAAATATACAGAAATATTGACAGTTAATTAAGCTTGAAACGGCATCACTGCTTGCAAACTCAAATCAGCTTTGGGCTTATATCAGACACTATCAGCATTTTTGAGCTTTCAACTTTTATATTGCTATTCTTTATTAAAGTGATATTCACACAATCCTCAGTAATCATCTGCTTTCTTAGCAGCAGCCCCTCCCTGTACTATGTAGACAAGGGATGAAGAATAGCGCCGTAAGAGCACCCCATACAGGAAGCAGCTTCCTTTTTCCGCACCGTGCCCACAATGTAAACAAACGCCCACTTTCTCTGATCAGGGAGGGGTGATGTGAGGCACAGGGTGATGATTCTGGCTTATAAACACTTTTAGCAGCTAATGTGCTTAGGACAGCAACCCCTCTTTCTTAGCTAATGTCTACAGTAAGTCATAGAAGTGTGTTTTTGTCTGTGAGAAGTCTTAGACATTACTTCAGCGTTCACAAAAAGCATGATATGCCATGAAATGAGCAGCTCCCTTTGAAAGGCTTAAAAAACAAGGATACATGATCTCTAATTGCAGGCAAGAAAGCTGAAACATGGAACTACATTATAAGGTGCTTCAACAGTGTTAGTTTAAAATGCGTCGACAGTTGGGCAACCAGATTGTTGCATTTTTCCTCCATAACAGGATATAAAAAGTGGGCAAAAGTTGGAAATTAGGGCTGTTCAGATACAACTTTTTCATTTGCGATACAAAACCGATTTTGATGCATCATGCTTTTTATTTTTTTTGTGATGCAGAATGTTAGAAAAGGCTTGATTAATTGATATTAAGAAAACAGAGAACAATGGTCAAAAACAAAAGTTATGAGAACAACTGACCCATATGAGTTACAGAAAATTTAAACAGATGAACAGCGTTTTAATCAGCATGAAAATATCAGATTTTAGATGCAGGTCAATATTATCCAGCAGTTTTCAGATGCAGGTTGATATAATGCAATATTAATTTTTTGGCTAAATTCAACACATACCTAATATTAACATCAGATCAGGATACCCCCTTGGAAATGATTTATTCAAGAAATGGATTCTTAAAATCTTAAAAATCAATTACTTTTCATTATTTGAATATTTCAGATAAAAGCTTTTTTTTTATTATACAAGAATGTGCATTTTCTCATGACTTTGAGATGCAACAATACAGTCAGTGCATTGAGCTAAAATGGTTTCCTCTTTTCAACTTTTAATTTGGAACATATTACAGCTTCCCCCTCTGTAGGCTTCTTCTTTTGTGTGAATAAAATGAAACCTCTGCTGCTGAGTGAGAAAGACTTTTGGTTGAACAAGGAGAGACTAATAAAGCTGCAGATGGAGGTGCAAACAAAGCAAACAAAGGTAGAAGAGAAATAAAGGACTCTGTTTTCCCTCTGAGTTACCATCCCACAGTTTACTGTAAACAAAACATTATATCCTTGAGTTTACAGCACTGCATGTGGAGGGTAAAAGTACCACAGATTTAAAACGAGCATAGCGTGGACGTACAGCTGCATGCTGGGGTTACACCGAGTGGGATCCAGTGGGTTGACTCGACAGTTGCTGTAGTCGTATTCTCCAACCCACACCTGGTGAGTCAGCTGGAGGGCAACGTTCCTTCTGCTGACTGAAACATCCCGTCCTTGCCACAGATAAACCTCACTTCCAAAATCAAACAGCAGAACCTGGAAACATCAGAACAGTGGGTCACAACTGAGAGACAGAGACATTCAGCGATATACAGGAATTATGACTTAATGGACGGACTGGGACTGACCTCAGAGGGGCCCAGCAGGGAGGTGCTGGGGATGGAGGCCCAGGCCTGTTCATGAGGCACCAATCGGTCCTCCACCAGGCTATACACACAGTTTGACTCCACCACTCCTTGTTCAAACAGCTCATCCTCTTCTGGAGCACCGGCTCCTGTTAAGGAGCAAAAAAATCTTTACATTAAACATGTAACCCAAAATCAAAGATCTAAGTGTCAGCAAAACAGAGATGATATTCATCACTGCGGAATCCCCTGCTCCTGCAAAAAGTCCAGAAATCACAATGTATGGGGTTTTTTTTTACTTTGTTTGCAGTTACAGAGGTCAAACTTTTCCTGTAGTTTTTCACCAGCTTTGCAGACATTTCAGGAGGTATTTTGGCCCAATCCTCCACAAAGATCCTCTCTAGATCAGTCAGGTTTTGAGGCTGTAGCTTAGAAACATGGAGTTTGAGCTCCTTCCAAAGATTCTCACAGAGCCACTTCTTGATTATCCTTGCTGTGTGCTTCAGGTCATTGTCATGTTGGAAGTCTTGACCATCTTCAATGTTCTAACTCCCAAAAATCTTGCAATACATGGTCCCAGTCACCCTGTCCCATGTGCAGAACACCACTCTCAAAGCATGATGCTACCACTCCCATGCTTCACAGTAGGGATGGTGTTCTTGGGACGGTACTCGTAGTTCTTCTTCCTCCAAACACGGTTAGTGGAATTATGACCAAAAACATCTACTTTGGTCTCATCTGACCACATGACTTTCTCCCATGACCCCTCAGGATTATCCAAATGGTCAGTGGGAAACTTAAGACGGGCCTTGACATAAGCTGGTTTAAGCAGGGGAACCCTCCGTGCCATGCATGATTTCAAACCATGACGCCTTAGTGCAGGCATCTCCAAAGTTGGTCCTCGAGGGCCGCTGTCCTACAGGTTTTAGAGGTTTCCCTGTTCCAGCACAGCTGATTTCCATTAATTGACTCCCAGGCTTTTGTATAACTGCAATCCTCAGAATCAGCTGTGCTAAAGCTGAGAAACCTCTAAAACCTGCAGGACAGGGGCCCTTGAGGACCGACTTTGTAGATGCCTGCCTTAGTGTATTACCAACAGTAACCTTGGAAACAGGGGTCCCAGCTCTTTTCAGGTCATTAACCAGCTCTTCCCGTGTAGTTCTGGGCTGATTTCTCACCTTTCTTAGGNTTGGAAATTAGGGCTGTTCAGATACAACCTTTTCGTTTCCGATACAAAACCAATTTTTTTGTGAGGCAGAATGTTAGAAAAGGCTTGATTAATTGATATTAAGAAAACAGAGAACAATGGAGAACAATGGTCAAAAACAATAGTTATGAGAACAACTGACCCATATGAGTTACAGAAAATTTAAACAGATGCACAGCGTTCAATCAGCATGAAAATATCATAGATTTTAGATGCAGGTCAATATTATCCAGCAGTTTTCAGATGCAGGTTGATATAATGCAATATTCATTTTTTGGCTAAATTCAACACATACCTAATATTAACATCAGATCAGGATACCCCCTTGGAAATGATTTATTCAAGAAATGGATTCTTAAAATCTTAAAAATCAATTACTTTTCATTATTTGAATATTTCAGATAAAAGCTTTTTTTTTATTATACAAGAATGTGCATTTTCTCATGACTTTGAGATGCAACAATACAGTCAGTGCATTGAGCTAAAATGGTTTCCTCTTTTCAACTTTTAATTTGGAACATATTACAGCTTCCCCCTCTGTAGGCTTCTTCTTTTGTGTGAATAAAATGAAACCTCTGCTGCTGAGTGAGAAAGACTTTTGGTTGAACAAGGAGAGACTAATAAAGCTGCAGATGGAGGTGCAAACAAAGCAAACAAAGGTAGAAGAGAAATAAAGGACTCTGTTTTCCCTCTGAGTTACCATCCCACAGTTTACTGTAAACAAAACATTATATCCTTGAGTTTACAGCACTGCATGTGGAGGGTAAAAGTACCACAGATTTAAAACGAGCATAGCGTGGACGTACAGCTGCATGCTGGGGTTACACCGAGTGGGATCCAGTGGGTTGACTCGACAGTTGCTGTAGTCGTATTCTCCAACCCACACCTGGTGAGTCAGCTGGAGGGCAACGTTCCTTCTGCTGACTGAAACATCCCGTCCTTGCCACAGATAAACCTCACTTCCAAAATCAAACAGCAGAACCTGGAAACATCAGAACAGTGGGTCACAACTGAGAGACAGAGACATTCAGCGATATACAGGAATTATGACTTAATGGACGGACTGGGACTGACCTCAGAGGGGCCCAGCAGGGAGGTGCTGGGGATGGAGGCCCAGGCCTGTTCATGAGGCACCAATCGGTCCTCCACCAGGCTATACACACAGTTTGACTCCACCACTCCTTGTTCAAACAGCTCATCCTCTTCTGGAGCACCGGCTCCTGTTAAGGAGCAAAAAAATCTTTACATTAAACATGTAACCCAAAATCAAAGATCTAAGTGTCAGCAAAACAGAGATGATATTCATCACTGCGGAATCCCCTGCTCCTGCAAAAAGTCCAGAAATCACAATGTATGTTTTTTTTTTTTTACTGTTTATTTCTACAATACAGCTGCAAATAAGTATTTGAACAACTGAGAAAATTAATGTTATCATTTGGTACAGTAAACTTTGTTAGCAAGTACAGAGGTCAAACTTTTCCTGTAGTTTTTCACCAGCTTTGCATACACTGCAGGAGGGATTTTGGCCCAATCCTCCACATAGTTCCTCTTTAGATCAGTCAGGTGTAGCTTAGAAACACGGAGTTTGAGCTCCAAAGATTCTCACAGCGCCACTTCTTGATTATCCTGGCTGTGTGCTTCAGGTCATTGTCATGATGGAAGTCTTGACCATCTTCAATGCTCTAACTCCCCAAAATCTCGCAATACATGGTCCCAGTCACCCTGTCCCATGTGCAGAAAACTACCCTCAAAGCATGATGCTACCACCCCCATGCTTCACAGTAGGGATGGTGTTCTTGGTATGGTACTAGTAGTTCTTCTTCCTCCAAACACTGTTAGTGGAATTATGACCAAAAACACCTACTTTGGTCTCATCTGACCACATGACTTTCTCCCATGACTCTGGATCATCCAAATGGTCAGTGGGAAACGGGCCTTGACATAAGCTGGTTTAAGCAGGGGAACCTTCCGTGCCATGCATGGTTTCAAACCACGACACCTTAGTGCAGGCATCTCCAAAGTTGGTCCTTAAAGGCCGCTGTCCTGAAGTTGTAGAGGTTTGCCTGTTCCAGCACAGCTGATTTCCATTAATTGATTCCCAGGCTTTTGTATAACTGCAATCCTCAGAATCAGATGTGCTGAAGCTGAGAAACCTCTAAAACCTGCAGGACAGCGGCCCTTGAGGACCGACTTTGTACTGTAGATGCCTGCCTTACCCCGAAATCCCACATACTCCGTCAGCGCTCTGCTCCGCTCCGCCCCGCTGTGCTCTAGACCGCCTGCTCAAAGCAAAGCGTACAGCCTGCGCTGTGGCTCCCGTCCGCTCCGCTCTGAATTCCTTGGAGATCGTAGAGGCCATGCGTGAGATGAACCAGGGTTTCCGCGGATCATTAAAAATAATTACAATTCATTCATTTTTTTTTTTAATCAAGGCCTTAATTGGCACTAAAATTATTTAAATATGTTTATCTAAGTATTTATAATTCTTTAATAAAAAATGCTTATAAAAACAATTTCGTCATATATTATATCGCTATTAATTTGCGTGGAACTGATCATAAAGCCCTATGTTCGGAAAAGAAGTTCGAAGCGGAGAAAAGGCTAGAGGATATATATATACGTATGTGTGTGTGTGTTTACATACATACAGAAGTCATGGAACTGTGCTTACAGCTCCTTCATATTTCATGTACACTAATAACTTGTGTACATGGTTCTTGTTGATGGCATTAAAATCATTTCTAATTGCATTAAATTAGAGTCACTCATTCCTGTATGAACCCTGTGAGCGCTTAATTTAACATGACATATTAAAAAAATNAGATTTTAGATGCAGGTCAATATTATCCAGCAGTTTTCAGATGCAGGTTGATATAATGCAATATTCATTTTTTGGCTAAATTCAACACATACCTAATATTAACATCAGATCAGGATACCCCCTTGGAAATGATTTATTCAAGAAATGGATTCTTAAAATCTTAAAAATCAATTACTTTTCATTATTTGAATATTTCAGATAAAAGCTTTTTTTTTATTATACAAGAATGTGCATTTTCTCATGACTTTGAGATGCAACAATACAGTCAGTGCATTGAGCTAAAATGGTTTCCTCTTTTCAACTTTTAATTTGGAACATATTACAGCTTCCCCCTCTGTAGGCTTCTTCTTTTGTGTGAATAAAATGAAACCTCTGCTGCTGAGTGAGAAAGACTTTTGGTTGAACAAGGAGAGACTAATAAAGCTGCAGATGGAGGTGCAAACAAAGCAAACAAAGGTAGAAGAGAAATAAAGGACTCTGTTTTCCCTCTGAGTTACCATCCCACAGTTTACTGTAAACAAAACATTATATCCTTGAGTTTACAGCACTGCATGTGGAGGGTAAAAGTACCACAGATTTAAAACGAGCATAGCGTGGACGTACAGCTGCATGCTGGGGTTACACCGAGTGGGATCCAGTGGGTTGACTCGACAGTTGCTGTAGTCGTATTCTCCAACCCACACCTGGTGAGTCAGCTGGAGGGCAACGTTCCTTCTGCTGACTGAAACATCCCGTCCTTGCCACAGATAAACCTCACTTCCAAAATCAAACAGCAGAACCTGGAAACATCAGAACAGTGGGTCACAACTGAGAGACAGAGACATTCAGCGATATACAGGAATTATGACTTAATGGACGGACTGGGACTGACCTCAGAGGGGCCCAGCAGGGAGGTGCTGGGGATGGAGGCCCAGGCCTGTTCATGAGGCACCAATCGGTCCTCCACCAGGCTATACACACAGTTTGACTCCACCACTCCTTGTTCAAACAGCTCATCCTCTTCTGGAGCACCGGCTCCTGTTAAGGAGCAAAAAAATCTTTACATTAAACATGTAACCCAAAATCAAAGATCTAAGTGTCAGCAAAACAGAGATGATATTCATCACTGCGGAATCCCCTGCTCCTGCAAAAAGTCCAGAAATCACAATGTATGGGGTTTTTTTTTACTTTGTTTGCAGTTACAGAGGTCAAACTTTTCCTGTAGTTTTTCACCAGCTTTGCAGACATTTCAGGAGGTATTTTGGCCCAATCCTCCACAAAGATCCTCTCTAGATCAGTCAGGTTTTGAGGCTGTAGCTTAGAAACATGGAGTTTGAGCTCCTTCCAAAGATTCTCACAGAGCCACTTCTTGATTATCCTTGCTGTGTGCTTCAGGTCATTGTCATGTTGGAAGTCTTGACCATCTTCAATGTTCTAACTCCCAAAAATCTTGCAATACATGGTCCCAGTCACCCTGTCCCATGTGCAGAACACCACTCTCAAAGCATGATGCTACCACTCCCATGCTTCACAGTAGGGATGGTGTTCTTGGGACGGTACTCGTAGTTCTTCTTCCTCCAAACACGGTTAGTGGAATTATGACCAAAAACATCTACTTTGGTCTCATCTGACCACATGACTTTCTCCCATGACCCCTCAGGATTATCCAAATGGTCAGTGGGAAACTTAAGACGGGCCTTGACATAAGCTGGTTTAAGCAGGGGAACCCTCCGTGCCATGCATGATTTCAAACCATGACGCCTTAGTGCAGGCATCTCCAAAGTTGGTCCTCGAGGGCCGCTGTCCTACAGGTTTTAGAGGTTTCCCTGTTCCAGCACAGCTGATTTCCATTAATTGACTCCCAGGCTTTTGTATAACTGCAATCCTCAGAATCAGCTGTGCTAAAGCTGAGAAACCTCTAAAACCTGCAGGACAGGGGCCCTTGAGGACCGACTTTGTAGATGCCTGCCTTAGTGTATTACCAACAGTAACCTTGGAAACAGGGGTCCCAGCTCTTTTCAGGTCATTAACCAGCTCTTCCCGTGTAGTTCTGGGCTGATTTCTCACCTTTCTTAGGATTACTGAGACCCAGTCCAAGGGAGATTGGCAGTCATGTTTAGCTTCTTCCATTTTGTAATGATTGCTCCAACAGAGGACTCTTTTTCACCTAGCTCTTTGGCAATTTCCTCGTAGCCCTTTCCAGCCTTTTGGAGGTATACAATTTTGTCTCTAGTGTCTTTGGACAGCTCTTTGGTCTTGGCCATGTTGGATTCTTACAGATTGTATGGGGTGGACAGGTGTCTTTATGCAGCTAACGACCTTAAACAGGTGAATCTAATTTAGGATAATAAATGGAGTGGAGGTGGACATTTTTAAGCCAGACTAACAGATCTTTAAAGGTCACAATTCTAGCTGATAGACAGGTGTTCAAATACTTATTTGCAGCTGTATCATACAAATAAATATTTAAAATCTTATATTTTGATTTCTGTATTTTTTATTTTTAGATTATGTCTCTCACAGTGGCCATGTACATATGAAGGCAATTTCAGACCTCTCCATGATTTCTAAGAGGGAGAACTAGCAGAATGGCAGGGTGCTCCAATAATTTTCCCTTCGTATGTGTCAGCTGCATGTTTTTTATTCTAACCTTTGTAATGTTTTCTGCCTCCTAGAAGACTCCAGAAGTCTTCAGCCTCAGCAGAATCAGAGTTCACCCCTTCTTGCAGATGGACGACTTGAGAGGCGTGACAGCCAAGGTCCCTTTGGCTCTGGATGAAGGCTGCAAGTTCAAAGGCCTAAAGAATATAGTTTGTAGAGACCAGAAAACAGGCAAAGACTTTCAAGATAGAGCTCAGTTCATCATTTCTATGCTACAGTAACTAGTATTGGTTTTGTTCAACTGTCTGAGCTGGGAACACAGACTTAACAACTGATCCTCCTGAGAGATCACAGACTACATGATCCATCAGACCAACCAGCCAACTGAATGGACACTCAAAACCGTCACAGCTTAAAAGGAGCACAAAAAAAAAAACAGCTGGCGGCAGTAATGGCAGTTATCTTGCTAAATTTCTAAAATTTAGTGACAGGAATTTAAAAATATGTCACATTTTACCCACAAATGAACCTAATGTGCCTGTATCACTCATGTAAAGAGTTGTGAACATGTATTCAAGGTTGTTAAGGATGTTTGGCGGTTTTTGGGAAACTGTTCAGATCTAACTTTTTCTAGAATCATGTTTTGAGGTAAGTTAACAGATTTCATAGAGAAACTGGCTGAAATACAAGGAAATTATGGGCTTAACAACACTTGCAGTTCAACTTACGGAAATTAAACCAGATACACCAGAAGTCAAACAGTTTAGATCATGCGTATGAATATTTTTTCTTGGTACAGTGAATATGAGGAATTTAATTCAATGTAGAAAACTTGCAGCTTTTAGTACAAACATGTACTGTGGATACCTTGGATCTCTCTTCTTTGTTGGCAAACTCTCCGCTCCACAGGATGCAATGCTCCGGAGTGACCAACAGGAAGCAGTCTCCACTGTTCAGCGAACGGATTGAAGGTTCAACCAGACGCACTTGGACCTGCCGCCTCCCTGTCAAGGTCCAACAAAGAGGGATCAAATACACCCCAACACATCCACAACAGAGTAAAATAGACCAATTTGTTTTCATCACCTTTAATGTGAACAAGCATCAGGTTGCTGAATGGAGGGAAAGGCTTGGTTTTCTCCTTATCTGAGGGTGTGACTGGATGTGCATCTGGTGAGGAAGAGTTCTTACAATCTGAAGCAGACAGGAGTCCACAAAATGAGCAAAGCTGGTGAAAGAACAACAAAGTAACAAGAGAACTGACTCACTTTTCTGTGCTTGGCTCCTCTCCTCGGCTACACTGTTGTCTCTTTCCCCCATGTAGTCCTGCCTGATGTCTTCTCTGGCTGCCAGAGCCCTCAGGGGGTTTCTGGAGCCCTGAGTCCGACGGGACGGACGCACTGCCCGTCTGTGCTCTGCGACGGCTGAGCTGAGTCTACACACAGACAGATGATGGTCAAACACAGATAACAAAACTAAAAATAATCTAAAAATACTAACTTAAATTCAGTAATTTAAAACCATTAGGATTTTACAGCAACTTTATAGCAGTTTGGCTCTAATAAGAAATGCCCCAAGTACCTCCGGATGTCTGAGCATGCAAGTTACCAGCAGATGCCGCTGTTACAGCAAAAACAGATGACAGCTCATGTGTAATTTTGAAATAACAGAAAACCATTTAGCCTATAACAACAATTTATTTATATAATCACAATATCTCAGTATCTTTGTTTCATGCATCTAACAAATTACACTCTACTTTTCAGTGCGCAATGCTGTATGTTTAAAGTTATTTACAGCTTTAGGTTTTTAGATTGGGATAATTAAACAAACAGACCGACATTATCTGGTTTTATAACCACTTTAAATATAAACAGAGAAAAATTGAATCTCTTAAGCTATGAATAAATTGAAAAATTTATTCATAGCAAAATTTACCATTAAAGTTCACAAACAACAGAAATTGGAACTTTTGGAACAAAGTCGGTGGCAGTAGCTGGAACAGCTGGTGTGGATCTGCTTTATGTTCATTTTTAAATTTAAAGCCAAAAAATGAAGATGGCAAGTAAGAGAACACCAATCCAGCAGAGGTATGCTGGTGGCAGCATCATGCTGAGTGGGTGTTACGTTACTACAGCGTTAGATCTGATGTAAAAGCATGATCACAAATTGCTCTTCAGTTCAATCATTTCTCATAAATTTTTTTACAAATCCGCATTTCCATGAAAACCAACTTCAATCTAAAAGTATATTCAAGTTTATTAAGGATGTATGTCATTATCTTTCAAAACGATTAAGTACTTTTTTGTTCATCACATAACATCCCACCTAAATACATAATTACTGTTAATTAGGTATTGATGCATAAAATACTTTATTGTTTCGAAAGGGAAATATAATAACATATAATGGGTATAAAAATGTAATTACTAAGAAAATATAATAGAATATATACATATCACATGAGGAAAAATCTATGCTGTATGGAGATTTTGTTCCTCTACTTCTTAAATGATAATATACTGTAAAAGTATGGTGATACATTTTTAAAAATATATGTATTCAAACTAGGGATGTCCGAATCTGATATTGACAGCAGAAATCTGTCTGATAAGCCAAAATTATCAGCCAATATAAGCACACTGATAGAAGCACTCTGTTCTAGCATGTAGTCTGTTCCCATATTTTTATCCAGGAGTGCTTGCATCCCACACAGAGCCAATTTAATCACATCAAGTACTTGTGGAGTAGGAGCAATGGTGGGGCTGTACTTTTTGTTAAAGTTACAGACAAGAACAAAACTTGTTACTTGTTAAAACAGGTTTCCAATCTTCTGATTTGTTGTTTTTTATTCTGTTCAACTGCATAATATTTTATGTACAAGTTTAATATGACTCAGTTGTAAAATCACTCAGTTAAATCTTTTCTAGAATTCCATACCCACAAAATACTCTTCAAAATGTAGGAATTTTGTTGATATTGTATGGTGTTAACATCTGGATTGTTCCATACTAAAAGCTGTAATACTGGTATTGTATCGGAAATTAAAATGTTATGTTTAGCAGGTTTTAAGTATTTTAAGAATCTGTCAGCTCAATATAATATAAGTTGCTGTTCAAGAATAATTTACAAAAGAAATAGTATTTAATCATTGTGATGCTTTAAAATCATATATTTTGATATATTTTATGATAAACAACATTAATAAAAAAGGATTACAAGGTTAAGAGCAACTTGAGACAATAAAGCAGGCCAGGTCAAAAACAATGGTACTTAAGCTCCCCTTTGCCATCTTTATTCAGCTTAAAGTGTAATGTGGACTAATCTCTGTACTTACATGGGTGTGCTGCTTTGGCACAGGATGGCCAGGTCCTGCTCCCTCTCTGCAGCAGATACACCATCGCAGCCTGTGGGGCCGTCAGCTGGAGGAGGAGACTGGCTGCTGCAGAAACCTCCGTGTGACATCTTGAAACTATCGACAGGCCTCTCTTCATGAGCAGGATCTATGTATGAGACAGAAAAGTGAGGGGAAGCTTTCAGCGAGTCAAGGCTCTGACGTTGAACAGCGAATGCAGCTCTGACCTGATGCAGCTTCACCAGGGTCCATCTTCGTATTGGTTATATCGATACGGTCTGTTTCAGGTGATCCAGGACCTGAAGCTGCAAAGAGAAAAATGTTCAATCAAAGAGACAAACCCTGACCAAACCTAGAGGATTGAGACTCACTTCTCTGGATGCTGATTGCAGTTCCCTGCTCGTTGTTTTGAAGCTGTGTTGTCCTCTTTCCACTTTCTTCCTCCTCAACCTCATCAGCTTCTTTAGCCTGTCCGACACAAACAGATTTGTCAAGGTAAAGATCATCATCTTAGCAACAAAAAAACAAAAAAAAAATGAAGTCATACATCACCTTCTGTCTCCACTGGGGCTGGATCAGGGTTTTTGTAGGAGAGGAGACTTCCTGGGCCTCAAAGCACAGATTGGTCTGAGGAAGAGAGGAAATATAAAGAATACAGAAAATCTTATGGTGACATTCAGAGAGGTTTCTGATCTGAATAAATCTGAAACATTTAACATTAAATAGGTGCAAAATCTACACAGGGGAAACCTTTCAATGCAGCAGCATGTTGTGCGCATTTTTATTATGTGAGGAATTAAAACGCCATTTGCAGTACTGCTAAAACTAAGGTCAGGTAAGATTTAAAAAAGAAAAACAAACAAAGAATAATTGATACAAAAAAGTACATTTGGTGACAGACAGGTAAACTCACAAAGCTACTTGCATGCATTGAATGCATATGCTTTAATTTATTCTCTGAAAAAGATTTTAATTGCATGCATCTTTGAATATGTCAAAAATAAGAATAAAAAATAAAAACTGAAACTCATTTAAAGCTGTGCAAGTAGCCGACATTCAAATAAAAAAATATGCAGGTATATAGCAGAAATCTAGCTATTTAGGCTATAAATAGGCTTATCCATATGCAAGAGTTGCTGTTAAGGACTGGAACACTGTAGGGAAAAGTCTAGAGATATGGATGCAAAATAGAAATAGAAACATGCAATCCTCTAAAAATATGTTTGCTTTCTTGTATCTGTATGCTGGTGCATACCACTTCTTGTATCCAGTGCAGAAAAAACACAGATGTAGTGTGCAAAACATGCACAAATGAGTGAGTGAGTGAACTGCAAAGCTTTGTAAATGTAGCCAAGTTGGGCTTTTTGAGTGAATTGAACTTCACACTTTAGCTGCAGCATTCACACGACTGCATGACTGTGCTTTTAAAAACTCTTCACTGCATTCTGAACACACCAAACAGCAGCATTTCAGGTCCAATGCAGCAGGTCACACGGTTACCTGATTAAAACACATGATATATTGAGGTGTATTGATAGTATAGACAGAGGCAAAGATGGGTTCCTGGAGGAGAAGAGAGGAGTGCAGACTAAAGCTGTTTGTTTCAAGCTGTGTTTCATCATGAAGATAAAGGGTTAAGAATTTTTGGAAAAGTTTACCCAACACTGAGTTGTCTCAGGAACAGGGCTTCCTGATTGCACCTGCATAAGACAAACAAAAGACAAAAAAGATTTTTTTTTAAATAATCACTTTTCCCATAAAAGAATGACAAAAACAAACAATAAATATCAGAAATGAGTGTAACCTGTTTGTGTTGCTGCCGAGATCTTGAAGTCATAAAGAGGGTAACATTTAACTACCAAATAATCAGTCTGTTTGCATTCCACATTCCCACCAGCTGTTATTAACACCTAACTGGTTTGAATATTTTTCCCAGCAACATGACCTCCAAACACCAAGCACATACCAAATGCAGAGTGCTTATGCAGAGAGATGCTATATCTGGTTTCAGTGACACGGCAAATGGCCCGATCTAACCAGCGATCAAGTCTCAAAATTTAGACCAACTGGAAGAGCGAACCCCATAACCTCTTATGCATCAAACATAATATTTGAGCAAGATTAATGCAAAATCTGTCAGATTTACAGTATAGAGGGTTTTAATGCTTTACCCATGATAAAAGAAAGATGCTTTTCAGAGATATTTACCTTAGTTTTTGTTTTGTTTCTTTACAATTGCTAACATTGCAGACAAGCATGAACCCAAATATTGCACAATAGTGAACTTGAAGGAAATTATATCCAGTTTAGAAGAATAAAAATCTGAAAACTTTATAATCAATTTATAACAAGCTTCTGATCATACTCTAAAATATATAATATCTAAATATACAGCTTTTATCAAAATAAAATATATATCTACGAAGCAGCATTTAATCTGATAAAAAGCCAAGAAGCCAAAGGTAACTCTGGGGGAGCTGCAGGGATTCTTAGCTCAGGTGGAAAAATTCTTAGATAGAAAAGCCAACAGCCATGAAATACAGTACACATAAAATACAAAGTCTGTGGTCTTCATGGGAAAAAGAAAAGTTGAGGGGTGTGATTACTTTTGTATGCCACTGTATTTATACTTTACTTTTACATTATTTATACTTTTACTTTGGTAATAATTAGATTTTAATTGTATTTTAAATAAACATTCAGTGCTGTTTTATTTACTCTTTTCCCGTTTGGCGTGTGTAGAAAATGTTTCAAAAAGCAATAAAATGAAACTCTTAAATCTTAATTGGCTTATAATTTAAGATCAAAATTATTAACTGATGAATGTTTGATGCCAAGACGAAAACATCCCTTTCTTACCTTTCTTCCTGACTCTGCTGTTTTCTGTAGGTTAGGTGAGCAAACTCCGATTGAGACCAAAACCTCTTGTTTGGGTTTGTCTTCATGAAAACTCCCAACAATCGCCTCCTCACTGTGTGTTCTGAAAAAAACAACATAAAATATTAAAGGAAATGTGTTTAAAAAAAAAAAAAAAGATTTTCTGCTATCTTTGTATTAATATCAGGACCATTATTAAGTTATATTTCCTGTGACATCAATGAAGAATCATTAACTTGCCCTGTGCCGTTTCCTTTAGAGGAAATGATCTCCTCTGGCGGTGGGGTTCTAGAAGGCCACTCCTCCTGAGCAGCATCCTGCTCTGACAACGCTTGTGTTGGGGTCTCCCTCCTGTTTCGAGCTCTCTGTCTCCATGGCGCTACTCTGATCGAACTTTTCCTCTCTGTTCCCTCTATTCTACCAAGCAGCCCTGGATCTGTGCAGTCTTCACCATTTTCATGGTGGTTGAGTGAAGGCTCCTGACTATCAGTCCCACTCCACTCTTGAACCTCAGGGCTATTCTTCTTTAGGATTCCCTTCAAACATGTTTCAGAGTTGTAATTCTGCGAAACCTGGTGTGTTGATTCAGGTTCTGAAAGTTCTGATTCTGGCTGCATAAGACGCACCTCGCTGGGTTTCAGGTTAACAGACATAACCTGCTGTCTGTCATACAGATTAGGGGTCAAGCTGAAAGCAGGAAGCTGAATGGGGCCTTTCTGAAGCTGCAGTCAGACAAAGTTAAACACATGAAAGCAGTTATTTTGGGCTGTTATTTTTGAGTTGAACTTTGAATTATTTTTGTCTCTCTCCTCACCAGACTGACTTCGTCCACTGTGATGGGCTGAGTGCGATATCGAGCTCCTTTTTGCTTTCGCCTCTCTGGGGGCCGGTCCGTGGGCCCAGCCCCATTCTTTCCATTTAGGGAGAGTCTGTTGAAGAGGGCCAGCTTTTCTCTCATGCTCATCCTGCAGCTTTCATCTCCATCCTCCACTGACTCGGCCTGTTCAGACTGCAATTCAGCTGCTACAGGAGCGCTGCATAACGAGACAAAATAGGTATCAAATATGCAGATCTCCGTTTTCAATACTTTATAGGCCATAAAATGAGTATATATCCCAATGACATTGGTGAGCACAGCATGTTCCTCCCCTGCCTTTATCACACACTGTTGTTTATTTATAGTGATTCCATCACACTAAATTCAGCTGCTGCAACAACTGAGCTAAAAAAGATCTGCAGCTTATTTTTGTCCAAGTATCCTTTGATGGACTGTATGACCTGGTTTAGCAAAGGTCTTTAAAATGTCAATTGTACAGATTAGACCGTTTCAGAGAAAAGATTGGTGAGAAAAAACACCCATTAAAAGCTGTCAGTCATTGAAGTCAACCCACTTCCACTCCACAAAGCAGCACTGGTAGTCCCAGCTCAATATAAGCTGATTTATGAAAGACTTGAAGGGCGTTAAACTGACTCTGCTGAACTCCACTGAATGCCAGGCATACACTGTACGATATTTTCAATCATTGTACTCAGCTACAGCTCAAACTGTAAAATGAAATTGCAGAGTTTAAAAGTACACAGCTCATACTGTGCGACCCGATGCTCTAATGTGATCTAACTGCTCACACTGCACTTTCAAAAACCACAAGACGGACTGAGTGAGGTTCTGGTAAATCAGCTTGAAGACGCTCATAGCTCTGCTTCAACAGCAGCATTTGCTCATGAGGGCCGACTGAATTTTAAACACGTTTGATTTTCTACCAACCTTACAATTCCTGAACGGGAGGTGGTCGTGAGAGGCTAATCTTCTCTCGTTACCCCCTGTATACTACAAAACGCAGCACACATCATGAGGTTGAAACTCGGCCAAATCCAAAAAGTTCTTGCACAACTGGAGAATCTGCCCGAAAAGGGCAAAAAAATCGT